TAATAAAGCGTAAACACACACTTCTTTGTTGCCTAAGATGTCAGTAATTACAGCATATTTTTGAATAATTATTTTTTTTAATAAAAAGCCCTACACATACGTCACGCTATATATTTTCACGCCAATAAACTTAGAGGGTAAATATTTTAAATAAAAACTCTAATGTGGGAAAGAGACCATAAGTTGCTGCCAACATCAAGAAAGCAAGGTTGTCATTATGTTATGTCATTTTTACATTTGCTATTGATAATTTGACAAACGTAAACGACAAAATAAAACTTTCATAATTTCATGCGGATGAAATCGCACGCGAACAGCTAGTAATCTCTACATTACACAGTTTCTTTATTATTAAGACGTCAATGAAGTATTTTTTTAATTTCCAACAAAATAAAACAATGTCTCGGAAACTCTCAAGAGCTTTGCATTGGTATTTACCTAGCGACTGTAATAAAAAGTATTGTCGGTGTTCCCCAACTCGTATTTCTCGTTTTTGCACTCTAAGAGATCGCGTCGAAGCTTACAGTGGAAAATACGATAAAACTTTTCTTTGAAAAATTCTTTTAAATGGACTGAATTTCGTCTGAAACTGAAACTATTGAGTAACTTTCACAGATTTATCGAGATATCCGGTGCTTTTTTTTATTTCTATAAAAATTTTATTACTTTTCGTTTATAGCTGAAGCTTTTCTAAATGCTTCAATTTTGGTATACTTTACTCTATTGTTAGAATCAGTGCCGGCATTAGTGAGCGCTCATGGGTGACTGTCCAGGGCGCTGGACATAAAATGGCGCCAAAATCAGGGAATCACATTCTTTTCCATAAGCCTGTTTGCCTCTTCCGAGCATGGTAAAAATGTGGTGTCCTAAAAGTCCCGCTCAAGACGCCAATAATGCTGAAACCAGTACTGAAGATACGCTACTGATGTCATTTATTACTATTTTTACCGTAGTTTTTATTTTTAATAGACCATACACTCGTATACAATAAGCACTGTAAAATTGTCACTGGATTCTAAAACTTCTAAATGACACTTCTGTTAGTTTCTGTTCTCATGTAGGCGACTCGACTTCCTGCGTAAAAACCGACTCGACGAGCTTTTAATGAGCTTTAGTTAACATTTTTGAAGTGAAAAAACTAACGTGTTCGTAATACGAGAACATACGTAAACACAGATTAAAAATTTAATAAAAGGGTATTTTTAACAAATGCACTTTGAAAATTTTCTTAATTTCTAATGTTAAACATCTATATGTTTAAAAAAAATAGAAGATTTAAATGTTATCAATTAAATCTGGTTTATTATGTACAAGTGTAAAAAGCTGTACATAATAGTAAAATAACGAGAATTTACTCAGTCAAAATTAGCAATAGCTGGTACATTAGTAACTGGAATTTATCTGCCACTGGCAGAATGCATGTACACATACCAATGTTCACGACGCGAGACGTGTCAGTGTTAAGTTACGAAGGTACCTTCTCCTCCTTCCCTCAAAATCAAATATGCCAACTACTTGCTTGCCAGTTAGTAATTACACATGACTCTTCCAGACACGTGACAGTAGGATTTATGCAATTATGCCAGCTACTAGTACATGTATTCCAGCTCTAACAATAAATAAATATGTCACATATAAATACGTCACTTATAAACTTAACAATAGGAAAATGTAAAGCGAACTTAATCTGCCATCGCCTATTAAAATCTCGAGTTTAAATAAAACTTTTAATGGAGCTTATAGCAAAAGTTTGTCAAGATTAATAATAGTTAAATTCTTATTACCTAATTAAAAAGTTGGATCTTAGAGAGTTTCCAATATCTTGAAAGTCAGTATGTCAGGACAGATTAAATAACGTTTTATGTTATTTCTGTATGGTTATAAAATGGACATTATTTCGAGGATGTTAAGGTATAAACAAATTAAACGGAGATCTTAGAAAATCTGCAACAACGGGAGACACTATTTTCAAACTAAACGTCTCATATGTGTAACTTATCTTGTCACTTTTACAGCCGGCGCTTTTGACTAAATTTTCGCACGATTGTGGATTGTTTCGCAGGCCTTTCAAGTGTTTATCTGCACAAATTAAAATCGAGTAGTGTACGCACCTACATATAAGCTCGTCGGAAACAAAGACAGACTAAACAGTTGTGCGACATCTTAGTTTCAGGTGTGCGCATGCTCTTATTACATAAATCTAAAGTTATGAACTCTAGAAAAATTTAAGAACATTTAATAATAGGCAATTTGTTTTATCGGGTGCATATTTAGTATTTATTGCTATTGTGGAATAGTGCACGCGACGCTTTTATAACTTAAATTGAAGCCGCCAAATGAAAATTGTTGTTTGTATGACACGCAATGGAGACATTAGAAATTTCTTTGAATCGAATTCTGTATCCTTGTGTAGCGTGCACAAACAGCACTAGGATATTGTGTCTGTTTAAGTTCAAATTCAACTTTAACTTAACAATAAGTTGAGTTAATCTATTCTTTATTATTTTTTTACAATACAAACTTTATCAAAATGAGGCATTATAAGTGTTGTACACTAGCTTGTTATTGAAATGTTTTATTAATATTTATGTGATAGGAAATCGAAGTTTTACAAAGCACTCAATTATCTAGCTCATGAAGTGGGTTACAAAAGTCAGGGATTCATTGCACGGTTGTGAGCCAAATGGGATGACTTGCAGTTTTACTGCACTGCGTATTGTGGTATATGTCAGTCCCTAACCATCTACTTCGCTACATGAGGATAAGGGCGCAGTTTCATTAACCGATTACTCCGTTATACAGCATGTTGAGAGTTCCGCATATATACGACTAAAATCATCTGTTGATTTAAAGCAAGCGTTTGCGTTGGCGAGTATAATGCGCGGTAAGAAAAATAAAGGACTATCGCCTAACGCATGCGGGCCCTAACGAATTATGAAACTACGCACTAAAAATAATAACGTGGCTTGTGGCTGTTTTTAGTTGCAAGTCTCTTCTGTTTGCACTATTATATTATTTTCTGAATATGTACTTCCCCGGTCGGGCCGAAGCTAACTGTCCAAGCTTTATTTTTTTTTATCGACTTCTACAGTCTCTTGGTCTGTACTCTTTTTTGCACAGTTTGTTTTTCTTTTTTGTTGCATAATCCTTATAACACTAGTGTGTGTTTTTTTATTTTTTTAAGTCCAAGCTTTGTTAATGTACATACACTTTCTTCTTCTTAAAGTGCCATTTTCTTCCGAAGTTCGGCGATCATTAGGGCGACTTCCGTTCTTGACACCGGGACTGTGAACAGTGAACGGGTGCTCTTTCCATACCACTGGCGTAGGTTTTTGAGCCAGGACACTTTAAATAGATGTGAAATATATTTTTTCCTTATACACAGGTAATGAAAGTTTAATTCCCTCAGAAGTAGAAATAAAGAACCATTCACAATGAACGAAGGCGAGGCGTAATTACTAGTGGAAAATGGGCCACTAAATCTGATGGATTACATCCGTTTGACGAAAAAGTAGTTTTTTAATACGCACTACAATTTTTATTTTACAGAGTTAAGTTGAGTTAATTTGTACACAATTAACTTTATGGTTCATAAAAATATAAATTATTAATCAAAGCTAAATCAAGAAAGTTTAAAGAAAAGCAATTTATAAATATAATTTGAAACAAAAATTCTTTCGAAACAGGAATGTATTTGTTTTTAAATGGATAACATTTTTAATGATTAATACAATTTTCATACTTATTTCAACAATTGAAACAATCGACAATCACAAAACAGTTGTGCGATAGTTTAGTCAAATATGTGCCTCGTAGATACTTTTAATGATAAAATATGTGCTTGTATAAATATACGCCGGTGGCCTAATTTTAGTCCTTATACCTTTCCACCCTTTTCTTAAGAAGAATGGATGGGAAAGAAAAGTGGATTTTATGGTTAAGGAGGCGCTTAAGAAGGGGAAATGTCCTCTTAATGTGCGTCTCCTCCTCCGTCAATTAAGGGTAGGCAACGCTCGCTTTCTATTTCGGTGGATTCAGGTGGACGCATGCTCGTTTGCCACCTTATGTTATATAAAAAAAAACAACTAAAAATAACCAATGACTTAGTGAAGTCATTGGTTATTTTAAGTTGTTTTTTGATAAGTGTATCAACCTTGTGGCCAAATGCTGAAACGCCGTTTAAGAAAAAAAATGTAAACGAAAAAACAATTTATTTTTTACTGATTTTCTTCGGACACGAGGCTGGTGTCCCTCGCCGCACAGACCATAAAATACAAATAACAGAAATAAGTAACATTTCAAAACACACAAATTCTTCTTTTGGTGCCATCTCAAAAGATTTGGCAATCTTCATAGCAATTAGAAGCTGGTCACAGCAGCTCGAAATAAAAAACGCGTACTTTCGTCTTGCGTTTTGAAGTCAGGTGGATTGCAAGTGTTGCTTGTAAAGCGATGTTTTAGATTCGTCTCAGTATTCGGCTGTTTGTGACGATTATGACCAGTTAATGCCGATTGTGGTTATCACGATATTAGCGTGTTTGTTACTAATCAGATAAAAAATGCGACATAGCGACGTTGTTAAAGATTAAACCTGTTGGTTTGGTTTCGTTTGCTTTTTTTGTCATTAAGATAAACTACCAATCCTCTTTTTGTGTCGCAATTGATATTACTATTTATCATAATATTGATATCATACTAAATATTGAAGGTTCGCTCTCTGTTCAGATCGTACTGAACGAACATGTTATTTCGGGAGCAGCCTGTGGGCGAATCACAAGCAGAAATCTTACACAAAAGTGTGGTCGGGGCTACCTCGCTTCTGTAGCGCATCAATGATGATTGGTTACGCACGTATTGATTGCTTTTATGCAACTATGCGGAAAAGAGGTGCCTTCCTGGTGCGCAGGTTGCGAGTGATCTTCAATATCATTCTCTGCATGATAGCCGGCATACTTGAGAGATACGTTAAGAGCTGTCTAAAGTTGCACTCTGCTCTATTAATTTTGTAATTGTAAAATATTAGCTATACTAGCTGTGGCTCCCGACTTCGTCCAGGAAATATTAAGATAAATAGTAGCCTATAATATGTCAGCTAACCTTCAATGAAAGTCAGTTCGAAATCGGTCCAGCCGCTTCGGAGATTACCCGGAACAAACGCGGCTTGAGGACAGACGGACAGACAAAAATCAGCATCGCAAATACATCATCTTCCCGAAACCTGGTTCTCTTCTTTTGATATTACAGACACACCAATTTTATTATATGTGTAGATATAAATATAGATGGAATGGTCTGTTAATAACATAGTATAAGAGAATTACTATCAACTATATGAGGTAATGTTTACGTTTGATATACTCGTAAAGTAAATTATTTTTGTTATTATCGAATGGTTATCACACGGTGAAGTCGTGTTTTTCATCAATTTGTTTACATTATTATATGATGATAGATGATGTAGCAATTTTTGTTCGCATTATTGTTAGTTATCAACTTTTTTTTTAATATCCAACGACTCACGGAAGAATAATGCTTCTGCCCAAAAGATTATACGTCAAATTAGATAAATTATTGCGTTATATTACGTCAAACTACCCATGACAGTAGAATACAATAATGACTATACAGCACTTTATTTAATGTAACTTTATAACTTTCTCTTTAATTTGAAATAACACTTTATTCACATATGTTTTAACAAGGGAATTATTAAGTCACTAGCTTTCGCTCGCGACTCCTACCGCGTTGAATTAAAAAAAGTATGCCTAAACGTTCTTCTATACTGCTCTACATCTATGAGAAATATCATCGATATCCGTTCTTTAGTTTAGGCTACAGTCTAACAAACATCCATCCTAACTTTAGATTTGCAATATTACTAAGATTTTTGTTGGCCTAATGTAATTAACTGTATAAGTCATAGTCGTGACATCATCAATGATTAGTATTTGCCAGATGAAATGGCAAAACGGCTATCTGGTAATCGATCGTTTGCAGATTATATTTAAAGCGCCGCGCAAGGCTACTACGAGGCAGTTACTGTTTGCGTCTAAGAGTTATTACGAAGGTCAGTGCACAATTTGGCTTCTGAGGATTAACAAGTAAGGAAAATGATTTTCACACTACTTATTTTAATTGGAGGTCTTCTTGCAATTTATTATTTAATTGGAATATACAATGAGACGTATTGGAAAAAACGGGGCATTACTTTCTACCCGAAAAGCAAAGTCCTTGGCCCCATGGGACAATACATAACCTCAAGTCGACCGCTGTTTGAAATCTTCAATGACATTTATAAAACGTATTCCGATGAACCTGTGGTTGGCATTGGCTCTTTGTTCAACCCTGCGCTTTTTGTAAAGGATCCAGTCAACGTCTATCACGTTTTAACTGCAGATTTCAATTCATTCAGTCACAGAGGATTTGATATGAATGAAGGAGATATACTTGCAAACAATGTTGTCTTCATTAATGGGGACAGATGGAAGCTAATACGACAGAAAATGACACCACTATTTACTGCGACTAAATTGAAAAGCATGTATTACTTGATGGATCGCAGTGCACAAGATTTTGTCGACTATTTAAATAAGAGACCGGAACTGTTAAAGGGGAATGCATTCAATACTCTTTGCACTTTTACAAATGCCGCTGTAGGAGCTGCCGTATTTGGGATTGAAAATGAGTCGATATTTGAGTCACCTTTTCTTAAGATGGCTCTCAGCGCCTTCAGACCGACCATTAAATTTAATTTAACTTTTGCAATTGGATCACTGAATGCAAGACTATATAAACTATTAAATTTAACAATTTTTAAAGACCACGAAAAATTGTTCATTCCAGCTATAAAAGAAGTGATACGTAAGCGAGAGGAATTGAAAGTTAAAAAACATGACTTTGCAGATTTGTGTGTTAATTTAAAAAGTAAAGGTACAATGAAAGATCACGATTCTGGTTTAGAATTACAACCTACTGATGAATTATTGGCCGCTCAAGCGTTCTCTTTCTATATCGCCGGAGTGGAACCCACGGGCACGGCCATGTTTAACATTTTAGTAGAGCTGGGCCGTAATCCTGATTCGTTAAAACGCCTACACAAAGAAATCGATGATTCGTTTGAGAAATATAATAACGAGATGACGTATGACGCCATTCAGGAAATGGAATATCTAGACATGGTGCATGATGAAGCGTTGAGGATGCATCCACCAATAGGATATTTGACAAGACAATGTGTTAAGGATACCGTACTGCCCGTTGGAAACGTTAAAGTAGAAAAGGGAACGAAGATATTTACTCCAATATATTCAATACACCATGACCCAAAGTTTTACACGAATCCTGAAGTTTTCAATCCAGAGAGATTCTCACGTGAAAATTCAAAGAATATAAACAATAACACGTTCATGCCATTTGGCGAAGGAAAGAGATTATGTATTGGCATTAGATATGGAACTTTACAAGGAAAAGCAGGTTTAGTTCACTTACTTCGACACTTTACTGTTAAAACCAATATCAAAGAGCCTGGATTTAAATACAGTAAGCAGACTATACAAGTGCGACCTACTAATGTAGATGTTCAATTTATACCTCGAAACCACTGATTTATATAAATAGACAGGCTGTGTAATGAAAATGTCAACTTTTGCTTTGTTGTAAATTAAAGGACTTGTCTATTTTTAGTATGGGAGGTGATTCAAACCAACTGAACTCCTACCAAGGTTATTAGTAGATAAAATTGTTGAGATAATAAAAACTTAAAAATAAAAACCCAGCTTTTTTTTATTAACACCCAAAGTTTTTTACACCTGGTATCATCGTCTACTTGTCGGAAACACTGAAGAACTCATTTTCATTGTCGTACGTTGGCCGCTGTATTTTTCAATCCGATGTTGGCGCCTCCATCCACCCTACTTTGGTATTCAAACAAAGCTGGCGGCATTTTCGCCAGTATTTCAGTCGCCAATAGTTGTTTCAATGGTTTAAATATTAATCCAAATAAATGGCATTTGCTGTCAGAAAAATTTAATGTAAAATAAAATTGTCCTTTTTAGTATTTAAATTGGTTAAAGTTCAGAAGATATCGCAAACACAAATAAGATAACCGAAAAATCAGGGCACAAAGTACCGGGCTTAGAAATTTGGAATTCTTGCATCCGTAAATTTCTGTTATTACGTAGATCACTACTAAGTTGAAATAGGTTAAAATAAGGGGCGAACGTTACTGTACTTTTTAAACTCCACGCAGACGAAGTCGCGGGTAACATCTTGTTTGTTAATAAAATGAACTAAAAAGGACAAATTAGTTTCTAACAAGAAATTTAATAAATTAAAGCGTGTTAACATTTTTATGTATGGTATACATGTATGGATGTAAGACGTTTTTGTTTTTAAAATCTCTTATATTTAAAAACATTACATTTTTAATAGTGATAGAGCCAACTTTAACATCATCGCACAAATAGGTCGGCTCGGTTGGTGTAATACCACGACCACACAGAAAACAAGCGTGAAGTGGAAGAAATTCCGCGTTTCGTCTGATGAGTGTTGTGCCGGAGGCCTAATTTTAATCTCTTTCCCTTTCCGCCCTTTTCTTAATAGGAAATGATGGGAAGGAAAAGTGGATTTGACGGTGGAGGAGACGCATAGAAAGGGAAAATGTCCTCTTTATGTGTGTCTCCTCCTCCGTCCATGAAGGGTAGGCAACGCATCTCCAATTGCGGATGTTAATGGGCAGCTGTCGCTTTCCTTCGGTGGATTCAGGTGGCCGCTTGCTCGTTTGCCTCCTTATGCTATAAAAAAAATGGTATTCTTCATTCGTCATTTACTACGTAGGTCATTGGAGTTGCATATTCACGCTAATGAAAATACTCTACAAGACGAATGGGCGTGTTACCTAATTTTTGGAATTGCTTTATTTAATTCATGTACTCGTATAACTGAATACGCAAAATTTCATTACTAATCTTACTAATATTATAAATGCGAAAGTTTAGGTGGATTGATGGATGTTAGAGTTTGTAGCCTAAACGGCTGAACGGATTTTGATGAAATTTGGTATAGACGTAGAAGATAGTCTGGAAGAACACATGGGCTACTCAATTTCATTTTTTTAATTCCACGCGGACGTAGTCGCGGGCGCAAGCAAGTTTAAAAATAAATCTAAATATTTTAATGTAGCAAAACGTTGAACAGAAACATTTGCCGTCTTAATTTCTAGGCGCTTGGAATAGTATGTAATTCATCTATTACGCTGGGAATGGATATTCAAGTAGTTAACAATCATAATTCTAAGGTACTTCTAGCAGTCCCACAAACATGAAATTTAGAACATAGATAGAAGTCAATGTGTAATTAAAGGGAAAAATCTAAGAATCTAGTTTTTAATAGAGAAAATATTAACTTGACCTCTAGTTCGAAGCATTTTCAGGTAAGGAAGGGTTCAAACTAAATTGGTTTCTTCGACAAAAATTTAATTTGGAAACCTACAAGAAGAAGTAAGATCCCACAAAAAATTTGAAATATAATAAAGTAATGAATTATTTATACAGCTTGTTTAGGTTTATTTTTTCAACAGCGGCACCGGCTAGGACTTTAAAAGTCTTTATCTAGAATTATTTTTCATAGCATAGATACGACGCCCAGAGAATCAAATCTTTGTAAAGGCAGGGTTTTCTCTTCTGTAGATGTCCACTATAAAACGTTTGATAATTTTTTATAATTGGTAAATATAAGAGAATAACCACTCGCGTACTGAAACGATATCTAAACAAGTTACAACAGTATTAAATAAGGCAACATAATCTCTGAATTCCATTTAAAATTGGACATCTCTTAGGTTGTAAACGGCGCGAACGAAACGAAGTATTTAACATTCGTTTGAGTAATCGGCCGTAAGTCTGTTGTTAACATCACTAATGGCCTGTCCCTCCGCTAGCTGATAGAGGCTCAGATAGCTTAAAAATGACGTCACTGTTAGATAAGGTAACACAATCCGATATGTCCAACACATATTTTAACGTTGGATTGTTATCAGACAATTTACAGTTCGGTGGAACAAGCCCTAGAATGATTTCGAGCTTAACTATTGTTATAATCCATATTTTTGTTTACTAATATAATATAGTGTAAACACCAAATATAATAAGGAATTATATATAGAGGAGGTATAGTTGCAGCCTTAAGCCATATCCCACAAAAAATATGAAATGTAAAAACTGCCGAGTCTCGCTTTCCCTATAAAAGTGCGTGAGATGTCATTTAAAATCTAATAATTTTTGTTAGTCCCTATTATATAGCCTTGGCAATTACTCGGCGCCATCATTTTTAAAGAACACCACTTGATGTTTATTCCATAATTATTTAAACCTAAACAAATCTCTCGAGAACAACGTATTTTAGTTTAAAAATCAATTGGTCAAGTTGTAATCCGTTTCAAGTCCAATTTACGTTTCAAAACAAATACAAACTCACGAAAGTTTATCAACCGATGCTTTTAAATGTAAACTTGAACAAAATCCATTAATGTTTGTAGAAACAGTTCAGTTATTCGTTCGGACTTTGTCGAGCGCTTGTTTTTGTTTCGTTTCATTTGTTTACTATTAACAATCGCAATTATCAAGTGTTCAAAATGCAAGGATGAGATAAATTGTTTAATTAAGTTTTACAACTCGTTCAGTTAACTTTACCACGTATGTTATATTTTTTACAAGTAATTAATTAAAAGTTACATAGTTGTCAAAGAAGGTTACTGTCTATACGAATATTATGAGGAAAACTTTGTTTGATTGTATGAATAGGCTCAAAAACTACTGGGTCTGTTTATAAAACTGTTTCACCGTATGAAAAGTAATTTATCTATGAGTAACATAGGCTGAATTTCTTAATTTTTTACTGTTATTTTTAAATTACACGCTGACGGAGTCGTGGGCAAAAGTTAATCAAATATAAACAAAAATAAATCAAACGTTTACTGATAGTATTATTATAAAGCAGAGGAATGTATAACAGTTGACATTAATTATATACTTGAAGATACGAAGATAATTCAATTATCCGAAATTAATTACACTTTTAAGAACGCGATTATGAAAATTCGAGACTTGATTTATTTACGCGACAAGTGTTAAAGAATGTTCGTAACAACGCTTAGCTGTTTTAATTAAACGCTAAAGCTTAATGGGGTTTTTGGGAGACTGCCAATGTAAAATTTTGATATTAAATTATAGTTTAAAAATGAATTAAAAAAGATAAGACTACATATTTTACTTTACAAAATTATCACAGCATAACATAAGCCAATAACCTACAAGGGAAGACAGAGATTCCCTATCTCACCTCTTCCACATATGTACTGCGCAAACATGGACGATTTTAGGGACTTTATCTCAGTTAAAGTTACTGTATGCTATTTTTAATCAAACGAGATTATTTGATTATAAATTATGGTCTTATTTCGAGCAAAGTTGTATTTTTATAAATAAGTTGCTGTGGCTCGCGACTTCGCCTGCGCGAAATTAAAAAAAAAATAATAGAAATATAGCCTATGCTACTTACAGATAAATTGTCTTTCTAATTGTGAAAGAGTTTTAGAAATCGGTCCAGTAGTCTTTGAGTTATTACAATTCATACAAAAATACAAATCTTTCCCAGTTATTAGTATAGAAGTACAGAAATAGATGTAATACGTAAGATTATCTTTAGATTGAGAGAGTATAACAGCAGCAAATGGGATTAAATGTAATATCAATTCCGTTGGAATCGAATGCATTTAATACAAAGAAGGTCCTAATATTTACGCTCCATTAGTCTGAACGTTTCTTGCTATTTCTGCACGAATTGTCAATGCGGACTTTGGCTACGACTTACAGAAAATGGGTTTTAATCATACTAATATTATAAATGCGAAAGTTTAGATAGATGGATGAATGGATGTTTGTTAGAGTTTGTATCCTAAACGGCTGAACGGATTTCGATCAAATTTGGTATAGATGTAGAGGATAGTCTGATAGAATACATAGGCTACTCAGTTTTGTTTTTTTTTAATTACATGCGGACGGAATCGCGGGCGACAACTAGTATTGCTTTTATCTCTTAGGTAAACTATACAATGAGATCATCATATATTTCTAAACAGAATCCTAAACATAGCATTTAAAAAAAAGTATACAGTAAATAGGCGTAATTAGGCTCCAATATCATTTGCCACAAAATACTTTAATAGCAAACTGTTTAAATAAAAAAAACGTTGTTGTTGCCTTACAAATGTTTCATGAAAATCACTACACTTTTTGGATTTTACACAAGTCAATTAACTCAAAACAGCGGCAATAGCCCAATGGTTATGGGGTATGGGTTACCGATCTTGCGGTCGAGGGTTCGAATCCCGGCATTTGACAGTCGTGAACCATAGCCTATCACAAGGTGAGTGGTTATAGGTAAATTTACAATAACATCTACTAATTTAATTTTAAAAAAAAGTAACAAAGTATCTCATCTTTATGAATTTGTAAGTATTATAATATTTTTACTTATTATCATGAGTAAATGAAGCTTTGATGAAGTTTATATTGATACATGAATGCCTTCCCTCAGTCGCCTCTTA